GCAGCCAAAAGCTGAAGAGCTTCAACTTGATGCAGAGAGACAGATTTGGAGCAAACCCGGCTCAGATGAGGAAGCACGAGGCAGAATGAAGAGGGGAATCTTGCTCACAAGAGGATTCATAGCAGCCACGGGCAGGGAGTAAGAGGTGACCACAGGGAAAGCAACAAGGGCTAACAGCTTGAACACTCCATTGGGAAGCAGGAATCCGAAGCTGAAGAGCTTCAACTTGATGCAGAGAGACAGATTTGGAGCAAACCCGGCTCAGATGAGGAAGCACGAGGCAGAATGAAGAGGGGAATCTTGCTCACAAGAGGATTCATAGCAGCCACGGGCAGGGAGTAAGAGGTGACCACAGGGAAAGCAACAAGGGCTAACAGCTTGAACACTCCATTGGGAAGCAGGAATCCGAGCCTGCACAAAGACTTCCAGAGGGAGGGGAAGCATCGCAGAACCTTTCCTCCCTGCCACAGAATAGAAAGAAACTCTCCTTCAAGTCACGACAAATCTGCACACTGGGAGTCAGCATATGGAAAGCATGAAGAAACCAGGTCTGGCAAAGTTCAGATGCCAAAATCACTGTAACACACCATCCTGACCCAGAAAACATCACTCCTAGACAGACAGCTTTAATTTCATCCTCAGATCATTAAATATGAGCAATAGAGTCCCTCTCTAATACAGATTTTACTCAAGTCCTTTAGTACCATTCAAAGAATCCACAAAACACAACAGCTTAGGAAGGGATGTCGCATTACTTGAGTTACAACAGGCCCCCATAAAGTAGGAAAAACAAGGAATATAACCATTTGCAGCCTACTTCAAGAACAAATGGTTGTTAGTGGGCAACATGCTGCTACCTGTTCAGTTTGGTCTTAACTAGCCATAACCCTCCAGAGAACAAACTGAACTCTCTCCATCAGCTGCATTAAGCACTTCAGCTCGATTCAGATATATGCTTCATTTACTCCTAAAGAGCCTCACCAGGGACAACAAATGAGCAATAATGTCCAATCTGAAGGGATGCTCTACCACACATCCTAAGTGTCAAGTATAAAGCTCTTTCTTTGGTCTCTTGCCTCTTTCACTGAGTGATGAAGGCACAGCAATGTCCCATGTAAGAAGCTGAGAGAGGAGAGAATCCACAGGTATTTTTGGTAGATCAGAGGCAAGGAAAATGTTTAAAAGTCCTCTTTTGAGTAAATAAAGAGAATCTTTGCTTTTGATTGATCCCACAATGGGAAGAGGAAAAGAAGAGAGGGGTAAATCTGTGCAATTCAACTTGGCTTTCCCTCCGCTCCTTTGACATTTGCCATCAGTGCCTCAACTAGGGCATATTTTGACACTTGGAGAAGGGGTGAATCCCAACTGCACAGTGTGAAGCACCTCAGTGAGCAGGATGGCAAAGCGCTTTGCTGAGAGAAAGCCATTTAAAATCCCGCTTCTATACTCAGGGCCTGGCACATAAACTTATTCCCTCCAGCTGAGGTATTACCAAGACAGAGAAACAAGAGGCGTGACAGACTCGAGAAGCGGGAGGCAATTTCCTTGACTCCTGCAGGAGTTGCTGAGATGCTCGCTCACTCCCAGCAAAAGCACAGTGTTTTCTGCAATACTACCAGCACCACAGGCCGCTCTCATTTCAAGACAGCCACAGTCAGCTGAAAACACAAGATGCTGTTCCCTCCTGCTGCTCAGGCTCCCCAGACTAAGCCAAGTTTTGTACAAAACTTGCGTTTGCTGCATGAACGTTGCCAGACGGGCTCGACCGAGCCACATAAAAGAAGGGAGTGAAAGGGAGTCCACAAAGAGACTGCACAGCTGAAACAGAAACAGCTTTTGACAGCGCGACTCACATCGAAGACTAACATCTGTCCTTGGTAGACAGTCTCTTTCTGCTAATAAAACCTCCAAAAATCCTTAGGGAAGTTAAACACACACGTTGATCTTCAATGATGTTTATAGAAATCCACTTAGTTTCAGTGGCCCCACACAAAAAAAAACCCCACCAATATGAATGGTAACAACAACAAAAACCTACCAGCACTTCTGTCATTTCAATGATCTGGTGATTAATTCTATGTGACTCCCTGCTAGCGAAAGAAACGACGGGCGCCCAGGGCAGTGACAGGCGCGGCCATGTGGTGTGCGGTGAGGTAGCTGGCGGCGCCGCCGCGCGCGCCCTTGGTGGGCACCGTGTGGAGAGCAGGGGAGGCTGCGCAGTGCGCGCCCTCGGGGACAGGACACCCGCACTCCAGGCCTTCCGCCAGAGAGGGGCCGGGACGGGCACACTCCTCTGGGTACTCCTGAGCCCTTCCCGTCACCGGCAGGCTGAGGCCTGTGGCGCTCGCTCCTTCGCAGCACGCGCTCGACACCGCCTCATCCGCCGGTGCACGGGGCGGCCTGGCGAGCTGAGGGCTGCAGGAGGGGCACGGCTAGAGCAAAGGGCTGAGAAAGCTTGAAAATTAAACGTTCTAAAATGTACAAAATGTAACACACTGGAAAAGTTTAAAAATTGCAAGACAAGAAAGGAGATGAAAGAACTAACAGCACGAGGAGAGGGACTGAGAGATGGTGCCAGAAAATTCCAGCTTGGGTCTGGTCAGCGCTACTCCCTTTGGTAGCCGCTCAGTTCCACCTCATCCTTGCGGCGCCGCTGCGTGAAGAGGGAGCTGAAGGGGTAGAGCTTGGCTTTGGCCTGGAAGCGCTGCCCAGCAATGTCGATCTCGTACTCGCCCTGGTTGATGAAGTCAGTTGTCACCACGAGCTCTTCTCCTGTCTTCTCATCAAAGTGCTGCACGAAGCCCAGGCAGACGTGGCGCTCCAGGGTGTAGCTGTAGGCGCTGCTTGTGGTCTTGCCCACGTAGCGGCCGTTGCGGAAAATGGGCTCCCCCCACCAGGGCCAGAGGTCCATGTCTGTGTCATGGTCCTCAAGAATGAACATGGTAAAGCGCTTGTACACACCGTGCTGCTTCTGCTCTAACAAGGCCTCCTGGCCAATGAACTCCATTCCCTATGGAGAGAAGGAAGCATCTGCTGATGAAAGGAACATCAGCTGGAGCAGCAGCTGCTGCGTGACACAAGCAAAGTTAAGTTCAGAATTCATGCTTTGTCAAGACAGGTTGCTTCTATATGCAGTGAACCCAGCTCAGGGCTTTTCCAGTATTGTTTTTTGTTCTAGATGCTAAACTGTGTTAAAAGATATCAAAATATATGTTTGAAGGAGGCCTTTAAAAAAACATTTTAGTTTTCACTATATTATTGCCTCCGGAAGAATACTATGTTTTAAGAATTACAGGAAAACAGTAACAGCCTGTGAAATTCTTATCCCTAACCATTACACTTGCTTCTCTAAATTATTTAATGCAAGCAATTGCTTTGTCTGGTGCAAAGACGTGAGAATGGAGAAAATAAGCAAGTGAGAGAGATGGCACCTGCCAACACAAATAAGCAGGACACAACTTGTGTCTATGCTTAGTAAAAAAGAACACAACTTGTGGTTCTATGCATTAGTAAAAACAGAGAATTGCCATCCCTGACGTGTTTTGACTTAATCAAACAACACAGCTGGTTTTTGCTTCATCAACCTGGGGGGAAGCACTGCCCATCCCTGCTGCACAGGCCGGCTCCGCCGCAGGCCTTAGTGCCTGGTTTCCACTGTACCTTTTCCAGCTTGACCTGGAACTCGCGTCCGCACTCCATGGGAGTGGTGAAGGCGTCCAGATCCTGGCCCCAGAACGCAAAGAACTTCTCGATGCGCAGGCTGCGCAGCGCATAATAGCCAGCATTGCGAATCCCATACTTCTGTCCCATGTTCATCACCTCATTGTACACGTGCAGGGCGTACTGTGAGGGAAGGGTAAAACAGAGCGCTGCAGAGAAATACCAGGAAAGAGAGGAGGGTCCTACACCCCACCGCTGATGTTACTGCGTCCTGCCTCTGCAGCGCAACAGGGCTGGCCAGTCAGCAAGCTGTAGAGAACACGGAAACCCTCCCGCCTGACCTCTCCTGTTGTTAAACTAGACATTTCAATAGACATCCCCAAGCCAACTTGGAAAACGTGCCTCCTTATGTCCATCCAGAACTGCCTGAAGTACCTCTGGCTGTAGCACGCTCTTACCTCTATAGGGATGTACAGCATGAATCCAGGCTCTCCCGTGTGAGTGATGCTCATCACGCGGATCCCATTAGCGTAGCCCACGCTCATCTCCTGCAGAAGCAGAGGGGGTGAAAACACCCAAACTGGAACACAGTACCGAGATGCAGAAGCAGCACAATCCATCACACAGACCACATCGAGCAGCTCTTTCCCCTTCCTCACCCCCATTTACCACCGGCTTACATGCAAAGAATGTAAATCTAAGAATGCAATCAGTGATATCACATTATTCAGACTTCATAATCTCTTCATGACACTCAGCAGTAAGCCTTTGAACTAGGCCAGGACAAAAGCTTGTATTCTAAAGGCAAGACAGAGATGGAATAGATATCTGCTTAGTCTCTGCGTAGCAGGAGACAATGACTCCACAGTCCCTGATCCCAGCTGCCTCTCGCACTGATAAGTTCATAACCAATTGCATGAACTACGCCAAGACATCAAACAGCACCAGGCCCACTGTGAATTGAATACTTAAAACAACTCTGCGTTTGCCGTATGCTTAGCAAGTAGAAACTAAAGGGAAGTAGTTCAGAAAGGGAGCCTAGTGAGTGCATTTAGCTCAATTAACTGCAGGAACGATGTATGGTTTTCAATTCACCGCTGACTGTCCAACACTGAAAGCTTTCCCCTTCTCCCATCTGCACTTCAAGACATCTAACAGGGAGAGGAGGAAGGAAGCAGAGTTACTCACCTTGCAAAAGAGAGAGGGAAAGTGTTCTGGAGTTATTGGGGCATAGGACAACTCTGACAAGACATCCACAGCACGAGGACCGATCAGATTGAGAGCTAGGAAGAGGAAGGTAAGGGTTTTAGGATGAGAGTAGAGCGGTCTTACCTGGTCTCTGACTTGCATATATTCTTGCCCCAAATCCTACTGCTCCTTGGGAAGCAGCGTAGCTCATGCCGTTTACTGAAATAATAGGTAATTTTACATTTAAGAACGAAGGAGAGAGTCGTGGGGTTTGGTCAGACTCTTCTGACAGTCTGCAGGAAGGAAAAGCTGCCTTATGATTTGTGCTTTCTAGGAGGAAGAGTCTGAATTGCTGTTTTTGTCCAATTGTTTGGGAAAAACGCTCAAGCTCTACTGTAGACACCTTAATTAATTGGCCTTAGGCACAAAGCACCATTTGTGGTTTCAGGCTGCATAAGGAGATCTGCTTTTGGTGATTTCCTACCTGTGTACTTCCAAGTCACATCTTCCATGGTCAGGTTGTTGTCACTGGGCAAGTGATTCTTCAACCAGGACCAGCAATGGACTTGTTGGTCAGTAGGGGAAATCATGAAGAAGCTGTAATAGAAAAATTGAAACCAGGGTACAATGAATTGACAGCCACAAGATGACTCATTTCATTCTTTACCAATGAACATTCAGCAACAGCAAATGAAAAAGGGGACAGAAGCACTGGGAATGGACTGCAGGAAGTTCTCAAGAGCCCACCCTTTGGGACCAAGGGTGTCCCAAAAGCCATGCGCATTTTGCAAAAGTATTTGCAGCTCTTCCAGACCAGTGGCTCTGGCTACTCTAAAAGTCAAAACAGAGCTTAATTCTCAAAACAATTTCTTGTTTCAGCAAAAATCTTTTCATACACAATAGTGACTATTCTTAACAGCTTCCCAAAACAGAATTGTATTTGTTACGCCAAAATGACAGATATTTGTAGCACAAGTCTCTACAGTATCTTTCACATAAACTGTGAGCTACAGTATATTATCAATGCAGACAATACATCTCCAAAAATTATTAAAAAGGAGAAAGCTGAGTGTTTCACACTGAGTAGGATGATACTTTTAAATAATATATGAATACAAACAGAAGAGGAACACTTTTAAGTACTTTTAGTACTTAAGTACTTTAAGTACTTTTTAAGTAATATATGAATACAAACAGAAGAGGAAGAAAAGAAAAGCTGTTTCTAACAGTAGGGACTGAAAAGGGGAATATTTTTCACACCACCATAGTAAAAACATGCAGAGAAAATGGAATATAAAAATAAAAACACTACTAAAGCTACACCAGCCCAAAACAGTGAGTCTAATGATTAGCTCATGTTAGCCTGCGTTACAGAGTACAAACATGAACCATAAGTGTCTGCAGAGCTAAGAATCAGAGTAACCACACTGCAATGCAAGCTGAAATAATCAAGAAAAAGCATGTCCAGCAGGGAAATCCAAAGGGAATATTGCTCAGGAGCCAATAAGCAAACATTCTCTTTGCATTTTAAATGATTACATACATTAGTAAACTCTAATGCTGAAAACAATTCGCCTTTTCAAGTGAGAAACATTCGAAGGCCTAAAAATCTGTAGAAACCTATTTGTAGTACTAGAGAAAGGCGTATTTTTCCCCATAATGGTAAACACAGGGGCTCCCTCTCCCCTTGGGGTTACTGCATTAGGAGCATAGCTAAAGAATCAAGCCTTTATTTTAAAGCCAAAGGTTACTAGAGGGGAGTACAAGGGAGCGGTCCTCTCGGCAGCGGGGCGGCGCGCGCGGGTACCTGCGCTTGCTGAGCCGCGCGATGCTGCAGTCGTTCTCGTAACCGCCCTGCTCGTTGAGCATGCCCGTATGCACGACATGCCCCACAGGCACGTCCAGGTCGTTGGAGAAGAGATACTGCAGACTCGCCAGGGCCTGCTCTCCTGTGGACTACAGGAACCAAAAGGCTAAGTCAGACGAGCTGCCTCAGCAACATCGAGTCACTGGGGCAGTTTAAGATGGCACCAAAATACTTTGGCCTAAAGCTCTCAATTCATAATGGCTGTGACACTGCTGGCTCAAGCTTAACAGCGTACAGTGGCAACAAGAGTGTTGAAACTTTTAGAAAAGTCACTCTAATTATTATTATTATTTTTAACTAAGTTGCTACAAACTAAGTCCTAGATGGACAGAAAAAGAAAAAAAAATATATCTATGCTAAACGTCATGGTATAACCTGGATTTGGTCATACAGCTTGGCTTCCTCCTCCTATCATCAGCAGGACACATGGCATTTTAGGAAAGCAGCTGGTAGCAAATAAAAGGCTGTCTTTACGAGGCTGATGCTTTGTCACTTCCTAGGTACTTACGCTTATTTCAAACTTAGTAAAAGATGACATGTCAATGACACAAACTGCTTCCTTACAGCACTTGACTTCTGAACCCACAATATCAAACCAATCTGGTTTGTAAAAGGTTTTGCTCTGATCCAAATCCAGCAGATCTAATGTAAAGAAGAATCAAAGGGACAATTCATAAACTCCATGAACTAAGAGCTCACATAGACCAATATGGATGCACTAGGCAGAGGAAGATATGCTCTCACCTTTCCCAGGTGGGACAAAATATTTGACTCTCTCGAATCCATGTTTCTCCATCCATCTAGCTCCCTGCGCATCCAGACGGTCGTATAACGGTGAAGTGCGCAGCTGCCTGCCCGTCTGGAAGTCCCAACGGGGAACCTTCAGATCACAAATGAGAGCTGCAAAGGTCACAAAGATCCACCATCAGGTAAAGTGAAAAAAAGTGCTTTTATCTAAATTTTTCTTCTAAATTACCTAAAAAGATAATTGCTAATATCTGAACCATTAATGAAATTCCCTCAAAACAATTCTGACTTTCCTCCTTTATTTCTGGAAACCAGCAAATCTGTTTTTATCCATTTATATCTATTCAAAACCAGAGTAACACTATGTGCACAAAACAATTACATTCGACAGATACTTGTAGCCTCATGACAATACTGTCGAGATACAAACCTCTCTTTTTTCTCTCCATGAAGCTGTGCTGACTGGCATTAATTATTCCTGGTTCTGTGCTGACAGCACACTAGCAGCCTCTGATCATTCTGATAATAGCAACACTGTGGCAGACAGCCCGCTGCTATAAGGATCACCTAATTCAGCTTCTTTACATATTGGCAGCTCAGCTTTTTCTAATTCTAACCTTTTCACCTAATATGCAATATTTAGGAAAAAAAAAAGTTACACTGATAAACATTTAATGTCCTCCCTGGTTCCTATTGGGGAGTAATATTCAAGGATACTTCAATACTTCTTTATAAATGTTAAGGTAATACTTAAGCCTCTTTAGGTCAAGAATTATTTAACACTGAAGGTGTTAAACAGTCCAATAATTCTTATTGGAGATTTCTGCTGTTTTTGCCTCATAACTACTTATGTTATCATTTTTTTTTGGATTGCTACTCTTGGGAAAGTGAGTAAAGGGAAGTAGGAATTAGTATGGCAGTGTAACATCGAAACTGAACACAGCACTCAACTTGCAAAAGCTAGAGATTCTGTAGTTACAAGAATCCAGATTTACTGAAAGGCAACTGCAGAACAATGAGCACAAAGCGATTTTTTTAGGGAGGAAGGTCAAAGCCTAAGAGTATTTCGTTTCCTGGATATATCTGCTCTAAGAGCTTTACTCAACCTCCCCAGTTAAGCTGAACCCACTTTTACTGTTTAGACTTAGTAAGAAATCTAGAATTAATAGAGAAAAAAGCACTGTACCAACAGCGCCTCTAAGACTAACGCTTAATAAGAACGCTGCTAACACGAGACCAAGCTCTCCCCTCTCCTGGGAACAGGCTGCACAAGGGAGGCCAGGAAGAAGGGAAATGGTCTCCGAACAAGCACGCTTGGCAGAGGGCAGGCGGCGCAGCAATTCCGCCTGGGCTTAGAGGGACCTCACTCACGCATTACTTCCATCACGCGGTGACGGAGGAACGTGCGACTGCTCTGCAGGGAACCAAAACGTTTCAAATCCAGAGGCCAGACGTTTTCCGACGGGTAACCGTTTACCATCCACTCTGCCAGGAACCTGATTGGAGAAGTACATAAGACCAAGACATTACTCACAAGCTTATAAGCAGGAGTCTAGGTTTAAAGCCCAGAAGCAAGGACATTTGGACATAAGAATTGCTTACAGAAGGGAGAGAACATAACTAACGTGATTTTCTAACCACTAACAGAATCTGGAAGAGTTCCCTTTTATAAAACCCATCCACCAGACATCCAAATTACTCATCTCCCATTAAGATATAACATACAGGGAAGCAGGAGGTTAAGGACACGTGGTAAACGAAGCCAGAGACCAGACAGGGAGTCCGGCTGACACCGTGTCAAGTCCTCAGGCCACGCTACAAAAGGGAGCGCTGCAAACGTTTAAGTCGGAGTTAGGAGGCCGACGGCTTTGCCATTTTTCAGTACCTGGTGTAGGCTCAGCCACAAACCATCAGTGACAGCATTCATTTCAGCACGAGGTACCAGCCAAGTTATGTCTAGCTACACTTCTAGCAGTGAAGGAGGAAGGCATGCTCCAGAGCTAAAGGACAAAGGCAGCTCAGACCAAAGCAGAGCAGAAGGATCTGTTCACAGTCAGTAAACAGAAAAACAAAGGGGTTTGAAAGTGGTCATTAAAAGGTACATCAGCAAGCTAAGCTGCTTATCTTGAGGCTGTAGCAACATATGGACAAGTACCAGTTTACCTTCAAAAGCAATTCTAATTCCTAGAGAACCTCCCTGCAAAGATTCTCTGCACTTTATTCTGAGATAGCAAAATGATGATTTCCTTCCCCGGTGAGTTCAGCTATTAGACAACACACAGAAACAAACGCACACTGCATCTCTCATGAGAAACAAGCAGCTTGTTGGGAAGACTGCGTGACAGAAGGGATGATGAGCTGCCAAAACCAAATCACACTCAGAGGAAGTCGTGACCATTTTGCAAGAGGCTTTGTTGCTGCACGGCACTCCTGTGCCTGTCAAGGTAATTGCATTAACACAGGACTTGGACTGTACTGAAAAATTATTACATCCCTAGCTCAGGGGTAGGGGACAGATATCAGGATATCAGCAGCACCTCACATGGCACAGAGTGTTCCAGCGACACCAGATTCACTCTGTTTTCTAAGAAATTAACTGTTGCGTCAACCTGGACACTACAGCCCAATAAAAAGCTAAAGGGGAATGCGATTCCTGAAACGTGGCTCCTAAAGAAAGGTGCACAGGATCGGAGAACACAGATTTAGGACATGTGTAGGAGAACATAGTCAGAGTGTGGTAACTGCCCCCCTCCTTCGCTCGAGTAGGAAACAAAAAAGTCTTCTTTGTGTAGCAGAGAACAGGTCTCAAATACTGACCAGAAAAGTCTACACAGAAGGATCATCTGAGCAGCCTCTTTTCTTCATTAAAACCTTACTTAGACATATAATAGCACAAACCACTTACTTGCCTGCTCCCCCACCATATGAGATACCAGCCGAGTTCATTCCGGCCAGGACGAAGTAGCCCCGCACAGCGGGCGACTCGCCCATGATGCAGCGCATGTCCGGGGTGAAGGTTTCGGGGCAGTTCACCAGCTGCATGATCTGCAGCGCCTCCAGATCCGGCATCCTGCGCAGAAGGGCGCTCAGAAGCGGTTCTAGTGCCCAAGACAGACAGACAGACAGAACGTCACCACCTTCGGTACCCAAGGACATCAGCTATTTCGCCTTCATCTCGACACTGGACACAAACTAGCCTGCATAAACCAGGACAAAAGGGAAAAGGCTTCCTCAAGGCCATGATATCCTCTGAAATCAGGGAGCCAGGACACTGCCTCGTATCCAACAAAGCATTTAGTCTTGTAACGATGCTTTCTGCTTGGCTTTCCAGTCCCTTCCCAGCGAGTCCTAACATGCCATTTGCTTTTGACAGCTACTAAGCCGATGTCTCATGGAATTGATATAACCCCAAGGCCAGCTCAAGCCCATCATTTTGTAGGGTGAAGATAAGCTCCTTCCCACCCGTGCGCACACATGCGACACCTTATCCTCCCTCCCTGAACTTCCCTGCCACTGCACTGCTCTGGCACGCCTGAAAGGGCCCTCTGCAATTCTTCACAGTCTATCATAAGTGCATAAGTTTTGTTTTTCTTGTTTGAAGTACCTCTGCGTAGTACTCTAGATAAAAGCCCTCACCATCCAGCACTAAGATTTCCTTGCTTTACACACAAGCACTAAAATAATCAGATTTCCTACAATCCAATAAGTTACAAACAGAAAGAGTCTTTCGGACGTGATCTTTTTGATCTTTTTCTCTCCTCATGCATAAAATTCCAGAGCAAGAGCCAGGAGTTATGGATTATTTTTTCCTTATTGATAAAAAGAGGGGTCAGTGTTAAATCTGTCCTTACATCCAGCTTTATGTTCAAACAGATGCACAGGCTATTTTAAAATTGAAAGGAGCAAGCCTGCAGTTATCTACAGAACTAAAAACTTTCAGCATATACCAGCACAAAAGCACACCCTATTCTGGCTCTGCCCCATCACCTTGGAGTTTGAGCTGTTTATGATATCAATAAGGTAACTTTCAGACAGAAAAATAAGATAAATCAATCTAAAGAAAAAGACAGAACATTTGGAATATAACAAATCACCCTATTGCCAATGGCAATGTTGCTGGAAAGCAAAAGCATGAAGTTCTGTCCACCAAAAAAACTTACACCAATGTAAACACACTTGGCATTCACTGCTGGAGAGAGCTGCAGAAATAAAATACCACAGCCACATGGCAGGTCACCAGGGCTCATCAACAGGGTCACACGAGGAGCTGCAGGCGGCCCTGACAGTCAAAAACGAAATGTGAGGGAAGAACAATGTTGGAAGGTTTATGTAGCCCTTCCCTGCACTAGAGGAAACGAGTGCTGAAGGTGAGTGGGTGTTTTTAAATGCTGCCCAGATGTTGGCGTAGTCCTTGGTCAAGAAGTTTTACACCAATTACTGACAAACCAAGAGATGAATGAATTTGAGAGAACATTCATCTTTCACACACCTTTCAGATAAAGACAGACACACATGCTGGCTGGTTTACCACAGCCTGTCTAATTTCTGACTCGGCCTTCTGCCAAATGTTTCATTGAGGCTGCTCTTTTCCTCCTGACATACCAAAATGATCCCAATCTTCCTGGAGGTTCTGGATCTCCAGCTGGTTCCGTCCCTCCGTGAAGAGGGGCTTGGGGTTTTTCTCAAAGCCGCCGGAGAGGATGCCACCTTGCCAGTTGCGTATGTAGATCCTGCCATCTGGGTCCACAATAGCTGCAGAGGAAAGAACAGTTGATGGAAAAGAATTGAGAGAAGGGATAAATCCCTCAGCCCACGGTTCCATAAACATTGTGCTGAGCTTTGTTGATACGCTGGGCCGAGCTAGAAGCCCTCTGCCATGAGAAGGGACAGTACCAGTCTCCCAGGCGCACACTTCAGGCTTGTTGTAGTCCTCATGTGAATCTTTAGTGAGTCATTTTAGGTTACTAAACCAGTATTGCCCCCTCACAACCACGCACGATAACTTCGGGGCAGCACAGTAAGCAGAACTGATTCTAAAGAGCACCAAAGTCAGCAGGACAGTGTTGCCAGGAGCAGGGAGTCATGGGTTCGTCTGGCACTAAGAAGTTATTATATCAGCTTAGCTCTGCTGAAACTGCACCCAAGACTAGATCTACCACCAAGAGAACTCTGTCCAACCCCCTCTTTTCCTTCTTTTACTGAGAACAGCTAATTTCAATGGGCATAAGTCACTGAGTTGCTCTGCTGCAGGAATACCCACACAAAGAAAGTGGGCAGCACCAGGGTAAGAAAAAGCACCCAGGTCAGGAGGAATTCTTTCAAGGTAGTATCAACTTGAAGTAAGTAAGAATTTCGACCTGACATGCTCCATAGTAGCTTTTCCACATATGGAAAAGCAGCAAATATATATTTTTTAAATTACACAATCAAGTAAAGTGAAGCACTTGGGGCCTCTGGTCAGAAAAGTGAATTCCCTGGAGAACATCAACTTTACTCACAAGAAGCTCTTGCTAAAGACCCAGAGTGAATAAGAGAACCTTCCACTTTCCACAGGCAGTTCTTAAGCACAAGGTCTTTTCTTTTGAGAGCGCCAAAAGCCAGAACGATGGAGGAGGGGGAGCAATTACCTCAAGTGCTTTGGTTGCCCCTACAGCTCATAGACATGCAAAATGCCACTGTAAAGCCTTAGCTTCAGTTGGAGGAAAGCAATAGATGGGCCATTTGGGGACAGCAGCCTGAAAGGAAAACACAGTGGCAAGGCTAGCACTCTCTCTGCAGCTCACAAAAGCAACAGTCCACGTCTCAAAAACACCAGTTTGTCAAACTACAGAGTTAAGGTCATTCTCCTCCCTAAATTGGCCAATTTTGAAAAATCTCAATTTTGCAGTAGAAGTTTCCCAAGAAGAAGGAGAGAGCTTCATCTTACGGCTAATGGAAGACTTTAAGCGCAAGTCTGTCGGAATACACTTCACAATCCTCACTGAGCTGAGAACCGACAGCCCTTAGTAAAGATTTTTGTAGTCATAATACACCTACCCTGTTCTTGGAAAGGCAGCTATAATTCACCAAGAAAAGTGGAACAGAGCTCAAGAATCCTTACTTGGTATGCTGCTTGCTAGAGGGTCCTTCAAAGGATACGTCAGGAGGTAGAAGTGTTCACAGGCGTGGACTGGGATACTGACGTGTTCCTCCCCAGAGAGGCCCAGCTCATAGGCCCACTAAAAAGAAAGAAGAAGAAAGAAAACGGGGGACAGGGTGGGGGAAATGATGTTAGAAGGCAAAAGAAGAAAACTAACTCCAGTTTAAAAAGGAAGATTTTTGCTGCTTACATAGAATTTAAGTTGTTAGGGATAAAAAAATGTTCTTCTGTTCCTCAAAAACATCTAGAAAAGTGGGGCCCTGACTCAGGACTAGGAATGATCAACTTACAATACAAGGGCAAAACAAGATTTAGACATCAGCCTCTAAATGTATAATAGGGAGGAGTTAGATGCCGGTAATGCTAGGACCCCATACAAACAAGACAGCCCGCTGCAAGATGAGGAACAGCAACTGTCAGATATATTTTCACAGCAGAAAAGCAACAGCACTTAAAAGAAAGCAAAACACAAAACTCTTTCACGATTCCTCTGAAAGGTCTCTTTCAAAAATACAGAAAAATCTAAAACAAAGAGAAGAAAAAAAAATGTAATAATACAACCTGGCCAGCACAGTTGACAAAGTACTCGCATGAAATGTGTCCTCTGTCAGTCTCAACTCCGGTCACACGACCTTTCTGCACCAAGACATGACTGACACTCGTCCATTCGTGAATCTGGACTCCTGAGAGAACACAAGAAAGTCAGCTTTAGTGCCAAAGCGTCGGGCTAACTAACAAGCATTTAAAAGCTTGTTTTTCCTTTAAAACCACATTTTTGTGCTTGACTTGATGATTCCTAAATGAAAGCCTGTCGTTTGTAAAACAGATGAAACTTGTATGTCCATAACTGAAAAGCTTGGATTGCGAGGAGATACAGTGCTCTTTTCCAGGTGACAATCTGGGTGATAAACACACCCCAATACCAACAACATGAAAAAAAATCATCTCTAACTATAGACTTCCTGTGATTATAAAGTCCATTATGCCATAAAGTTTGAGGCCTCGGAACAAGCAAGACTGCTTGTTCTTTTATGGGAATTCAGCCATTTGGGGGAAAAAAATGTTTAACAGTATTCAGAAATAAAGTACTGACTAAAGGACTAAAAGACCGTAACTTGTTCACACAGAAAGCGTTGTAACACTTACCCTCTAAATATTTATTCCTCTCTCCGAGGGATACTAAGTCTTATGACAATAAACAACCCCCAAGGCCCAGCAGCACTGTGCTGAGAAGCACTTTGAGAGCACGGAAAGCACCTGTTTTTTGGTCTTTTCTTCCAATCTGACAGATTTTCACGCTTAATGAGCCTCATCCCTGTCACTAAATCTATGCTTTGTTCTACTTTTAAGCCTCTCTGGGTGAGCCAAAGTGTTGTCCAAATAGTGTTTACTACTTCACTTTCAAACTCACTGAAAGCCTATGTGCTCGATGAAATAGTCATCGAGAGCACTGTGCCTTTTGCATTGCAGATAACTAAACTCTTCCGACGCGCAGTTTTGACTAAGTCCTATTAAGGATTGTATTTATGACTGAAAAAGCATGTGTTTTTTTCAAAGAAATTTGTTAATAATGAGTACAGCAAAAAGGTGCTTGAGCTATCAAAGCAGATTCCTAAAGATTCAGAATGGGGGAGGGGAAAAAAAAAAAAAAAAAACTACCTGCATTCTGTTTGAGGGTAAAAATGGGTTTTAGAGTGTATGAACCTTACAGAAATCACCCAGTGTTAGTCTTTAGTGCCCAGCCACAGCCATCAAGCTGACAGGAACCTCATGCAGAAAATTATATTATTTTCTGGAAACGAGACGCCCATCACGCAGGAGAGGGTTCTGTGGATGAAAGAAAAACCTCCTACCGTTGCGTGAAGCCGCAGTTGCCAGCGCCAGACTCACGTCGGCCGACGACACGAGCGCATCTCCTGGCACGTGCATGGCCCCCACCAGGTCGTGAATGTTGATCAGCGGGTGGAGCTGTGCCACTTGCTTCGGGGTGATGATTTCACAAGGTATTCCCATTACACTGCCACAAAACACAAGACAAACGCTGTCACTCAGCCCGCAGGAGGGCTGAGGCGCAGTCAAGATCGCTCACATTTCCTCTTATACGTACTTCAGCGATGAAGCAATGCGTTTCAGAGAGATTAGTCGATCCTGAGTCTGAGCCAGTGAAATAGAGCCTGTCTTCATGTACCCTATGACAATGACCAAAGTCAAGTCAGATTTGGACAGGATCTGTGAATTCTTTTAATCTCAGACCCATTGCTTTAGACCCGTTGTTTCCGTTACACAGGAGCCAGGAGAACCTAGATCCCTGCCTCTACTTATCAATTAGCCATCAAAACCAGTCTTAGTCAACATTTCAAAAAGGCAATTTAATCTTATGTTCTAACCCTCCACTGCCCTGCATCGGCTTGTGTTTATAAAAATAATTAAGCTGCACATATGCTACCAATTAAAAGAGAAGAGAGGTTACTGGCAAAACCAGAAAATGTCACTTAACATCTACCCAATCAGAAGAAAACCTTAGCCACCAAAAGCATGACATTTTGTGGCAACTCCACCCGCGGCAATAGTTCATACTACTCGCTAAGATAGTAGTGCCCTTAATTACAGGCACAGTTATTGACCTGGGGCGAGTCTGTCACACATCACAAGTCCTTGTAACCAGGAAACTATCAGGGCTGAAGTTCTCCATATCAGGTGCATGCCTCAGCATTTTGGCCAGGGTGAGAGGGAGGATTTCAACACGATGTTTCCTTGATGTTTCCAGGAGTGAAGCTAGGGTAAAATATCTTGTTTTGCCTATGTTTAGCACTTGTGATAAACTTTTTTTTTTTTTGGTCTTTTTTGAGAAGCAAACTGGTGCAGAAACTGGGTTATCTGCTCCAGTATCCGCACTAGCTTTTTCAGCCTCCTTGGAAAAAAAAATCATCTATATTTTTCCAGGCTACAAACAACAGAAAAAAAATGACTACCATTTGCAAGTAATCTGCCTTCAGCTTGAGCTGCTGATCCCACTTCCTCCAGGTCTTTTGATCACACAAGTAACTTTCCTTTGCAACTGATTCACTCTAAGGATATTCTGGAAGAGGAACCACCAACTCTAAGACACTGTAAAATCACGCTGGTGTTTCAGCATTAACACTTGGAATGTCCCAAAGATTCCCTGGTTCCCCTGTGGCGATGCCTGCGGTACCTGTTTTCACGCCGGTCTCCTGCTCCAGCTGCTGGTACAGCCTGTTGGAGTAGTCCGCCATCCTGAGCTCGATGGCCACCGGCCGGGCCGCGCTCACGATGCCCGCACAAAACCGCGTGGTCCCCGCGGCCAACCTGCAAGAGAAGGTGCAATAGAGGCCTCGGCTGGCACGCGGGGAAGCAGAGAGACCCCCTGAGGCCGCTGTCACTGCTGCTGACAGCTAACGCCAACAAAAACCTCTCCCCCAAACACAGGACCAGAACGTATCTGCGCTGAGGCAGACAGCGTGGCGCTCGGCTGGCGGGAGCTTACACAAAGCGTCGCAGATTTGCTCCTTGGGAATCCTGTCTGCTGCACTGCACACAGAAATAAAATCAGCCTAAGAAAATCCATCCACACTGGTAACGGCTGCTTCAGATCTCAAACGTGTGATGTTAACCTGTGCCCATCAAGCATCCTCTCCTTCTGGAATACGCTACTAGCTGCAGTCACCACAGTCAGACGCTGCTGCTCCCAGACAAAGGTGAAATCTTTCCTGCACTCCCAATAACAAGCTTAGTTGCTGCTGTCTTTCTCTTTATTACAGATAAAATTAGCTCTCCCACAGTTTCATGCACACTGCAGAAGCTCTCCCATTAAAACTCCAAGGGTGACCATCTGCCTGGGAGTCCACCACCAGCACGTGAAACCCCATAACTGCATGACTCAACCCAGCGGTGGAACTTCATGGCCAACAGGACACGTAGAAGCCCTCTGAGAATCAACACGTTGAAAAGCAACCGGTTCTAGCAATTTTCAGGTGTCCGTTCGCTATAGCAATAAAACTTGGAAGACACGGCACAAGAGAGTTGCTGTGGAAAACAGCATGAAACTGTATAAAGTCCATCAGCTAGAACTTAATCAGCTTTGCCTCTCAGGACAGGTCTGTTACAGGACAGAAACTTAAGAATTCTAGGTTGGATGATGCAGGGATAGAAGCAGGTTCTCAAATGCTTCTGGCGTAACTCATTTCTATAATTTTAGAAGGAAAGCATTTTAAACTAAAGTTTTACCCCATATGCTCAAGTCTACCTGGTTGTTTCTTCTTCCAAAACGGGAATTCCCTTGGGTGAAAATAAGCTTAGGTTTCTTTGGGTCTTACACTTCTGCTGGCCCTCCTAGTGCGCAGCAGCGACCAGGAGAGAGGGACACTGATTTCTTCTCCCTTATTAGACTGCCCTTAAAAAATTGTCTATCTACCTGTTTGGTGAAGGGCTGCTGTAAGACAAAAGACCTGCTAAAAGCTCTCTGCAGCAGAGAAAGGTGAAGGTGAGACATTCGACTTAAGCACACCACACTCTCAGCCTGCTTCCTCAGTACTTCCAAGGCATCTTTTTTGTTGTTAAAGCAACCCTGCACTTTTCCATTTGCCAGGCAAGCCTCTGACAAAGTTACTTTTGGCCTAGCATCTCCATAACCTTCAGAAATCCAGCACAGAAACCAGTTGTGAAAGGTATTGTTTTTTTACTCTTGTGTAAGGCAAAAAGGTCCTTTTTTTTTTTTTTTTTTTTTTTAAAAAACTCTTGTGACTCTTAGTCACAACAGAAATAGCTGAAGCAGAGTTATATTTGCTTACCATAATTTAACGCTAAGGTTTTTGTTAACGCATTTTTTCCTTTTCCTTTGACCATGCACACAGAGATTGTGCAGCATCATTCTATGAAGATGTTGTGTACCCCAGTCAACCCTAGTAAGGATTATCTGCCCTTGCAAATGAAGCCTGGCAGCTAATTTCACTCAGAAAGACACAAGGTCTCATAGAAGACTTCCAATTTCTTCTCTATGCAGCTGGGAAGACCTTGACACTCTCTGCTTTGCAGCTGCGCAAAGTCAAGAAATCATGGCTAATTATTCTTGGAAACAGCATCAGGTGGGAAGCTGTGAGCCACATGGTAACACTTCTCCATGCAGCACATTTGAAGAACGTGAGAAGTTGCTGTGGGAAATCTCTCTTCCAATTTGCAAAACACCAAACAGTTCTTAGGACCATCTCATGCCAAAGTCCCCAGACTCCTAAAAGGAAACACCAAGAATCTATATCTGAAGCTGAATTCTAGAGAGTAGGAAATGGCTGTGCAGTAAATCTCAAACAGGATCTGTACGCTCTGGCACCGACTTCAGATCCAACTCACCAAAGAGCATACAAATTGTTTTTCTACCTTGTATTCAACCAAACCCTAATGAATCTGTTTTACAGAGAAGCACTAAATCCCTGTAACAGCCAAGCTCTAGATAATGAAAACCTTTACTCAGTTTCCAGGGATATGGGTACCTCATTTCTATGGGATAACCTCCACATCTCCTGCAATCACAACACTTCACTCAGCCAGTAAAAGCCTAGGTAGAGAGGCTGGATCCAGCTGGGGCTGGATGGTGTTTGTAGACTTTCAGGTCTTGCAGCTTTCCCTGATTTGTTAAAATATTCCATCTTTGCAAGCTACGTAAGTCTATCTTTATTTTTTTGCATGCTCACCACCTGTGAGTAAAACAAGCCAAATTTTAGACCTACCTCTCAGGCTACTCCTAATGCCAATGTTTCTTGTAGGGCAAAAACACATTAAGTTATCCCAAATCTTCCAGCTCAAATTGCTGTAGGTAGGCCAGGAGGTACAACTAAATCTCCTCCAAGCTTATGCATACATAAAAAAATGCAATTAACTTTTGCCTACTCCATTAGTTCCCACACCTACGTGTAACATTCCCGGCTAGGTTTGCAGAGGAAGGTTTAGCAAACAAAAACACTCTATGCTCTGAGTCTCTTTATTTAAGAGTCAGTTAAGAAATCAGCAAGATACTGGTTGAGCAGAAGCTCAGCGTGGATGGGAAAGCTCAGATTTCAAGTCTCTTTAGTTTGTGACCTCTTGTCCCATACAGCAGAGGGAATGGGAAGTGGAACAGCAGGACAACGCATCCATCTTCCATCTTACTTATGAGAAGACTTCAATCCTTACCTGCCCTGCTCGATCAAGACTATATCCTTCCATCCCAGCTTGGAAAGGTGATACGCCACCGACGTGCCCGTGATTCCGCCGCCGCAGATGACAACCTGCGCGTGCGCCGGCAAGGGAGCAGGACGAGGCTCCGCTGCGCTGGAGGCGCTTCGCGGGCAGCATGGCCACCTCCTCCAGCGCGGGCGCGCCGCCTGCCACCGCACGTCCGACAGCAGGCGCAGGAACATCCCGGCACACGGGACGCTAGCTCAGGACCGCTCCTTCTGGGAAGGAAAGGCCACAGTCACGCTCCTGCTTATCTTATTATACACACTGCTGGCAGCAGCCAATGTCACAGGGTGCCCGGGGCACGAGGGGGCACGCGGATGCTGCTGTGTGAGCAAACGCGACAGCCGGTACGTAGCCCCTGTGGAGCCGCCCTGCTAGGAAAGGGCAAACCTGGGGCAGAGTGAGTGCAGGGGCAGAGCGAGAGGTGGGGCAGACCCAGAGATGGGGCAAAGCGAGCGCGGGGCAGACCCCGCGGCGGCCGCGCCACGCCCCAGCAGGAAGGGCCGTTACGGCGGG